TGTTTGTATATACAGGAAAATACTGTTGTAATCTAAAAAGGTGACAAAGTTCTCTCACAGAATGTCAGATAATTGGGCAGAAAACTAGTTAAGATTACTACAGACACATTTGATTAGTTCCACTTCTTTAAAGTATTATAATTTATTCATGCTGATATTCTATGTTAGCTACTTCTATTAAAAGAGAAAAAACTTAAGAAATGACAAAGGGAAAACATATGAAGACATACGAAGAAGGAAATGTGGCCTTGAGAAAGACTTGAGCAACTTGATCTAAATTGCTTTGAGTAGGAGGCTGGACTAGATGAACTAGAGAAGTCCCTTCTAATTGAAATTATTCCACAATTCTATGCTTCTCTTGGATTTTTGTAATGAAATCATCCACATAACTGCTTTTAGTGCTCTCCACAAAAAAAGTAAAATTAAGTTTTCAGAGAAGCGCTCGCTGCTAATAAGACATCTTAACTGATGTCCTCCAAAGTGAACAAAGCATTGCTACAAACACCATGACTGCTAAAAGTCTCTGTGTAGTTGGCATACAGTTAAGTTCTTAGTTTCATTACACTAGCACTGTAGCAGAAGCATACCTTGATGTTAGGTACCAAAGAATCCACTGTTGAGAGAGTTTTATGAAGATCTTGACAAAAAAAACTTCAGTTGGAATTTTTGTCTTACTAGACACCAGAGAGCCAAACAAGAGTGAGCCCAGGACTGAGAAATGCATTTTTTTGCCTCCAAAAGGATGCTCGTTTTTTTTCCTGTAGTTAGAGCATTTATAAAATTTCCTTCCAGTGTGTTTTCTCTATATCAAATAACTGTCTGACTTTCACTCCATCAGGGCATTAACATGATTTCCCTGTCTCAGCACTCTTCCTCCCCAAAACTGCTAGACCTTCTTCTGTTTTGTCAAATGTATTTGACCATTCAGTTGGCTACTGCAAAAGTTCTAACATCCACAGCATGATCACACAAACCAAGAAATAACCACATCACCTTGTTTTTCTGCAGCCAGCTGAGCCATCTCCAAACACCAGTGTCCCCAATCTCAAGTTTAATATGACCAGGTAAAAACCCACAAAAGTGTGGTTCTCTCCTTCACCACTTAGCAGAACTCATTTACTCTGACTATCTGACTCCTCCACAGTTTTAACTAACTGCTCTTCCCTCTCTTTAGCCAGGCTAGGCAGCTGCCTCACTTGCATCCTTACCCAAAATCTTCTTTATTCTGCTCCCCCTCCCCGTCCCCATCCCAAGGCCTTCTGGTATCTGCAAGAGTTCTGCTCTACAGAATTGGCAGTTTCTTGATGGGAACATACAACTCTGGTCATATCTGTTGAAGACAAACACACCTTAGTTGGGGTTTAAGAATCAGTAATTCATGAGAAATCATTAAAACAAACCAACCAACTCCTAGGATTTAGTAGGGGAAAAAAAATTGAAAAGGAGAAACTGTCTCTTACTGTGACCAGCTAAAAATGTGACACTGTACTTCTTTCAGGAGCCCTGTATTTACCATTATGTTACATGCATCCTTGTTTACTATGTTTATTAATAGTCTAAACTAAATTAGTCCATTTTCTACTGGAGGAAATAGTTATTTTTGGACTAATTTTTATATGGTATAAGAAAACTGAAGTTACTAGGTCAATACATTTCTTTCCAACTTCCAATAATCACCTGAAAGAATATTTGTGCCCAAACTTTTGGGGCACATTATTTTTCCAACATTCCATTTTCAATTTAGTTCTCTCTCCAAGTCAAGCAAGTAAACTATTTTTCCTAAGACACAGATGGAGTCACTTCAGCTTATAGGCCAGAAGTCGCCCGGTTTATTTAGTATGACCTGCAGTCGCACCATGATGCACTGGCATTCTGTTAATGATATATGACCACATTCGGTTTTTCATGTATGAATTTATGGGACAAATTCAAAAGATATTTGGAAATTCTATTCAGCCTTTATCCATGAAAAAAAGTTTCACAGCCTTTCCTAAAAGAACAGTTTCTAAATGAGAAGCAAAAATTCTTCTTTCTCATGAAACACTACAAAAGTGACATTAATTGCATGTGGTTGTAGTTCAGACCTAAACAGAAGACTGTTTAAACCAAAGTGACACCGCAAATTAAGTTTGTATCCCCACTCCAGAAACACTGTAAAGACAGTGGTTCAGACAATGATTTATTTTCTTTTATTCTATTAAAAGCAGCAGCAGCAAATTAGAGGAGAAGAGAGGTTGGAAAAAGACAGAAAATCACATGTTGGGATTATTAGAATGCTGTAGCAGCTAATTCTTCAGTAATCAACAGGCTGCTGTAATCTTTTTTTAGAGTCTCTTAAGCTGGATATCGTACTACTTGTACCTCTGTTGATATTTACTGAGAAATCTTTCACCATAATACACGAGTTACACATTGTGTGCGTTTGCTCATTTTACTACTTGATTTTTAAGCATTCACTATCAGCTCCAGTTATACATTTTTGCTATATCTAGTACCATCTACCATGGGCAGGTTAAAAAGGGCAAATACTGTGTAAGTTAAGAAACCTCATATTTGGAGAAACAAATAATCAGGCCTATGTGTTAAAAATATCCCACTGTGGTTTTTTTCCCTTGAATCTGTGTCCCCTGCCGTAACAATACAAAAACCTTTGTATTATCTTATATTCCAAAGAAAAACTGACAAATGGTGAAATCAACTCCACTCACAATTCTGCTGGTCTAACAGCAGTGACTGCCATGTAAGAAAATGAACGGCTTTCTTCAACCATGCTTCTGTAACTACAGTATGTTCTGAATCAAAGAATACGTAATTAGAAAATACATCTATTTTGACTCCAAACTGGAATTTTAATATTTTTAATTAAAAAAATATTAATTTATATTGCTCAAAAGTGCTGAAGCTTGCTTAAACAGATCAAAATAGTAACCCTCTTCCCAAAAGACCACCCACTACCAACTTCAATATTGTCTCATAAAACTCTGCAAAGTAACTTGACACTCTGCCCTGACGTATTTTAAAAACACTAAAGCTAGTATAACTGGATGATTAAAGGAACAAAGATAAGACTGAGTCATTTGACAGCTGCTGAGAAATTAGAAGAATGGTCACTGAAGCAGTTAGAGGAAATTACTGAAAATGGCAGACATTTCTTAGAAAAAGACACAGGAAGCATGATGTTGTGAGACTGGTCACAAAGAAGCCAGTAACAGTCAGATGAGAGATGTCTGTGGCCCAATGTGTATTTCTACCTTATCCATTTGGTGTCTTGATTTCTAAAGGAGGACTGGAGCATATCGTAACTGTATAAAACTATGAAAACCAAATATACACAGCACAACTGTAGTCTGGAACATTCATGTATATAAGACCCAGAGACCCATAATGCAAAAGAGCATCAGAACCTTTAGGTGGCTTCTGGTTTGAAAAGCACGGAATTTCTGCATTTCACGTAAATCCACAGATGCAAAGATATCAGACTCAGAAATGTAAACTGGTATAGCTTCATTGATTTTAGATGTAAATTGCACCCCTCCTGTTGCTTACTCCTCACTGGTTTGTAATGTGCATACAAGGAACATTGCACAGGTCACCTAGGTGACAGAAACAACCTTACAGATTCCACTTTACAATAGGGGATTTTTCTGATAAATTTTTGGTTGCTGTGAGAAGAGTGGAACCTACATTTGGTTCTGTAACTCTCAAAGCAGATATCAGATGGGAGTCTCCGCAGAGACAACAGAAGCAGGAAGAGTGTGTACAAATGTCAGGAAGATGTCTTTTATTTGTGGGCACATTGAGAGTTGGATCAGGCCCTGCCACCCAAAGCTGTTGCTGGTGCCAGCCTGTAAGATTTCTTCCATGAAAGCTCCATAATACAGTAGGTATAATGCTCATTAAAAAAAAAAAAAAAAACCCAAAAAACCCACACCAAAAAACAAAAAACCCTCACAACCAAAAAAAAAAAACCCCAACACCAAAACCAAAACAAAAGATAAACTGCTATAACCAAACATACAAGCAAAAACACTAATTTAAATATTTCCACATGGAAATATGAAGAAAAAGACTCTCTTACAACTTCTAAGTGATCAGAAGAGAAACTGGAGATATTTCATGGTCTCCTACAAATCCTAGTCTTGACAAAAAGTAAAACTTGCTGTCATTTTCTAGGCAGTAAATGTTTTACTGCTGGGAAAAGATTTTGATGTTTGTAATTTCTATTGAAGAGCATTATGAAGTAGTTAAAAATATTGCCACATCTGAAAAACAGACCAACGGGAAGTATAAGACACTTGTTCATCTGTATTTCTGTGACTTTTCTCACTTGGTATTATTTGCAACCATACTTTCATGTCTGGCAACAGTGCCAACTCTACTAAGGATCATATATTACTTTTATCATGTTGATTACATATGTTCACCAGTTTTGCTGCCTATATATGATTAGTGTGGTTTGCACATACTTAGTGACACAATCCAGAGCATGACATTTTCACAGAAAATGTGTTTACTGGGCAAGAGCTCCTTAGAAGTTTGCGTTCCTTTCAGCTTTGATCTACACGACATCAAGAATCCTACAGTTTGAATATATGTTTACCATTTATATTATTAAGATCTATCTCCTTCACACTCTATGGCTACTGAGTGCTTTGGTAGTCACAAAGAATTTCCTTTTCTCTTAGGTGAACTTCGTAGTAGCTGAATAAAAGAAAACCTCTTAAAATCTTCTCATCTGTGAGCTTAAGCTTTGTAATGACTTGACATTTAAATTCTGTTATTCATCAGCACTTCACAGAAGAACTTGATTTGTCTAAATGGATTTGAAAGCCCACAAGTGAAGAAAATCAGAAAAACCTGGTTTTGAATATCAAAAGATTGAATGTGAGAAGTATTTTTACAGGCTGCACGTACCCATTTTATTGATCAATTAAGTTCTCCCAAAATGAATTTTTCTGAGACCCTATATGAAAACCCAAACCCCTCACCCAAACACTTACTGATAAATGTCTTTTCTGAGCACAGCTCTACTAAGAGGGTTGTCAGCCTGAGGAGCCATACAGACAGATCCAATCTTGAGAACCAAAGTGTCTTCTTTAATTGCTGGATTAGCTGTAGTTAGGAGAAGAGAAAACATGTGTTTGATTAAAAGTCAAATGCACATAGCAGAAACACTGAAAAACTATTTCTTAAAAAAATCTAAATAAGAATGCCTGCTAAGGATTCAGTTCCACTCAGGAGCAACAACTAATGCAAGAAAAGCGATAAAATTAATAGCACTGTTGTGATACATAAAAGACAAAACTATTGTCATTTCATTTCCCCACAGAGTTTTATCACACAACTAAATCCTGGTCTGTGACTTCGTATTTTCTCTGATGCCTTTTTATTTCAATTTTTTTTTGTCCAAAATTATGTTAATCCCACAGACTTCTTTGTGATCTGCCTGTTTCTCCAATAATTATTTGTTGAAATATCAGCACGTAGAACACTCTGAATCATGCACCCTTTTTAATATGGGCCTAGGTCCTTTAGATTTAAACCACTGCAGGGTATTACAATATAACCATCCTAGTAGAATTGGTATGGGTTGCAACACACATGAAAAGTTCAAACACAAGGACTGAAACAAAAGAGTCTGAAATCTGACACATACAGAAAGAACAAGATGTAGTACTGGACAGTAGATTCCAGATCAATAACAAAATTACTCCAAGAAGAAAAATCTCTGCGTTCCACTTCATCTCCATCATATTCAAATTTCAGCCACATATACAAATTCTTAGTTTTAAAAGCAGTGGTCATATTAGAAAACCAAAGTTCTGCCCAGAAAAAAATAGCACCACATTTCTTTCAGTAAACAAAGGCTGTGAAGTTTCCTTGCAGGAAAAGACTGAGTCTACTGCATCTTCTTCTCAGCAGACACAGACATACACAAAGCATTTGGATAAGGTTGTGCTCAGAAGACTCCATAGTAACTAGGAAGCTCCTGAGAACATGCAATGTAAGCTCAAAGAGTTCATCATCTGAAGTGAAATGGTTCACTTCAACACCAGCGTGATACAGAACAAGGATGGAACAACATCACACTTGCTCCCACGTCCAAGGAAGTTCTGCCAGACTCTCATATATGAGCACTGAAAACAAAATGATAGTAGCAGAACAGAGGTTAAATATTTTACTGAAGAGTGAAATGCTTGGTTTGGAAAGAACTATAGAAATCTATGAGCTTAAAAAACGGCTTCTCCAGACCCATCAATGTCTTGGTGAATAAGACACCATGCTTTGCAGCTATATATACATATAGACACACACACGTATGTATATTGTTAAACAGATATAAGAAATGACAGAATTCACAGAAATTCTAATTAATATTGTTTTGAAACAATTGTTGGGAATATCACAGTAAACATCAGCAGAACGGTAACACAAGTCTGACACACAACTAAATCAGAACACAAGCGATTTACTTAAAAGAACCTCATCTACTTAAAAAGCAAAGTCAAATCCTTTAGTCTCCAAAGCAGAGCAAAACCACGTACAGATGGCTTGGTTGCCAGAACTAAGGTAGAAAAGTTAAGATGACAACAAAATCCTGTTTGTAACTAAACCAGAAACTTATTTTTCAACTTTTAGATCACAAAAATGAGTAAGGCATTGTACTAAGTATTAGAATTCCTGCCACTGTACACTTAATATGCTGGATTTTTTTTTTTCTGATAATCACAAAAGAAAAAGAAGTGAAGGTATTAAACGTACTTCAGATTGTAATTGCAACTTAATTAGATGGCAAATACCTTATTCTGAGAAGTGGTTCTTAATAAAAATATATCTTAGCCTAAGAATTTTAATTTGTCTCTGACACTCAGCAAAGCAAAATAAACACAGGACTACTCATCACAGTCTCTAGCATGCAAGCATTTTAGGATTTTTTTTTTTCCAAGGCTGGGCATGGTTCTTTTGTGTACAGCTGCCTGTAGGTCAAGAAATTGAGTCAATCTTAAAACAGAAAGAATTACAGGCATTAATATTTTCAGCTGGTTTCTAATGAGTAGTAATCCGAGTCATGACTTAGGGTGATGAATTCGTATGTCCATTTCATTAACCCATGAATTCTCCCATTAGCTTTCCAAATATAGGAATAATGTAGTAAATATAATCACAGTCATTATAAATATTTAAAATTGGGGG